AAACGCAGACGCGTCACCAGGTGACCCAGACCATAGAAGGGTCGGCGAAACCTGCGGCTGCTGGGGGTGCGGCCAGAGGTTATGCTGGTGAGCGGCGTAGCAAACAGCGAATGGCCACAGAAAATGGGGGGCACCGGCATGGATCATGGAGGTGCGAGCCACCTCCATGACTAAACCGATGCGTCGCTCAGCGACCCCATTCTGCTGTGGGGAGTCTGGCAAGATGAACGTCTGGGTGATGCCCTCCGCACGACAGAAACGACCAAGGATACCAGAGGGAAACTCGCCATCACGGTCGGAGTGGAGACGCAAGACAGGGAGACTGCGGTGGACACGCGCAGAGACAAGCCACGGGATGAGAACGTCAGGCACGTTGGCCTTCCGCTCCAGGGGGAACACAGTGGTGTAGCGCGTGTAGTCGTCGACAAGCACTAGGAAGTAGCGCTCGCGACGCGGCCCATGGACGGGGGCGGGGCCCCAGACGTCCATGTGCAGAGTCTGTAGCGGTGCTGCAGTAGGGGGAAACGAGGAGGAGTGAGGAGCACGGCGGAGCCGGCCCTCGACACAGGGTGTGCATGGTGGGGCTGGGGAAGAGGGAAACTCGAGGAACGACCCGGGGAGGCCTAGGACGAGTCCATGCTGTGACATGTGACACAGATGCGGGAGCACAGGGTGACCTAGGCGGTGGTGCCAAAGGAGGGTCGGGTGAGTGAGTGACCGACAGGAGCAGGCAGCAGCAACCTGAGTAGACGCAGCCACCTGAGGGGGCGTCCCAGGCGGGGAAGGCACAGTGTCCAGTGTGAAAAGGCCGGACACTGGGTCCCGTGGGAACGTGGTAAGGGGGGCACTAGTGGTGGCCTCGGTACAGACAGCGTACCGCTCGTGACCAGGGAACGTAGTGGTGACGCCAAGGTCCTGGAGGTAGCCGACACCAACTAGGTTCATAGAGAACGAGGGGATGTGCAGACCTGTGAGAGAGCTCGAAGGAACCGCCAGACAGGGAAGGGTGGTGGAACTGCGGGTGACTACAGGGCCGGAGGAGGGGTCAGCAAGAGAAACTGCAGCAGGAACAGGAAGCGGTGTCAGCATGGTGGATTCGCGGAAGAAACACCGGGAAGCGCCAGAGTCCAAGGTGAAGGAAAGCGCGGCAGTGGCGGCCGGAGTCGAAGTAGCGACGGAAGCACCAAGGCTAAACAAAGCAGGGGATCCTACGCCTGACGCAGCAGGGGAGTCTAAGCTATGCACACCTACACTAGGCAACAAGGGGTAATAAGAAGGAAGCACACTAGAGTTATCAGCATACATCACATGCAAGACAGTAACAATCTCATCCATGTCCATATCAAAGATCGGGATGCTACGACGAAGCAAGCTGTGCTAGTCTGGGAGCTCGGACGACGGGTTGAAGCGCTGACGAAACAGGTCGTCCAGGCGACGGAAACAGCGGACGGAGGTGTGACCAATCTTACCGCAAACGAAGCCACGGCGAGGACCGGTCTGGAGCTGGTACTGACAGCGCGCGTCACCCGAACCACCACCCGGCAGCCCACCACACGCACGACCACCACGTCCAGCACCACCACCAGCGCCAGGCCATTCGGGCGGGAGACCACTCGCCCGCCTCGGCTGCTGCGGCGGCTGCGGCTGGTGCGAGGACTGCTGCAGCGACTGGCGCATGTCCGGCTGCAACACCTGCGGCTACTGAGACGGCTGCTCAGCTGCACCTGTCAGGGTCCCCTCGTTCGCGCCACCACCAGGGAACCCTACACCTACACCTGAACCCCCACCCCCTCCGCCGCGCCCAGCCTTGGGGCAGCGACCCTTTCCCGAACGGACCTGTGCTACAGCGGCTGTCTCAGCCACAGCAGCAGAACCGTCGGAGAAGGTGCACTGAGCGGGGGCACAACCCTGAAAGATAGGGACCAGCACTGTACCGCTGGTCTGGGCGATAGAGCGGTGGCGGGCCTCTATGGCGGACAGGGTGTCAACAAAGTCAGTGAGGGTGAGGTCTCCGGGGTGGAGGCTAAGGAAGCGGTCGCGGGCAGTGGCAAGGCGGTCAGGGAGGCGGGTGGCCAGCAGGTAGAGAGCAGAGCAGAGGGGCGGCTGGTGAGCGCGAAGCTGTGTGTCAGTGCAGGCAGCGTGCCAGGTCTCGTCTATAGTGCGCAGGTGGGCGGCCAGATCAGCAACAGTGGGAAACGACGCAAGGTCAGGGAAGAGCATGGGGAGGATCAGGCGACCTACCGAGGCAGCAGGCAGGGTGGAATAGCGCTGGACAACAGCATCTAGGAAAGCCTGGGCAATGGTGACAGACCTAAAGTGAGGGCGCTCAGACAAGGGGAGGGCATGGCTGATAGCAAGCTGTGCGACAGCATCACGCGACAGCCAGACGGAGCGAGCAAGGGCACCGGCCGCAGCGGAATCACGCTCAGCATACGAGGGGTCAGCGGGCAGCGCAGCAGGGGGGTCAGGGCAGGGGAGCATACTGTCAAGATGGACAGACAGCGAGTGGCCATCCTGCCGCTGACCAGTAAGGTGGCGGCGGAGGTCGGCCAGCCACGCCTCAAGCTCAATCGGTTGGCCCTCGGCATCAAAGCGAAGCACCTCCCCCATCAGGAACGATGAAGGGCGGTGTAGAGCGGTGCAGTGCAGTGCAGTGCGATGCAGTGCGGTGCACTACGGTGCAGTGCGGTACAAAGCAGTGCAGAGCGGTACAGTGCGGTGCAAAGCAGTGCAATGCGGTACCAGGGGGGGTTGTAGGGCAGAGCTGGTCGGGAAGAACGGGCCGGGCACGAGTCGGCGGCGGGCCGGCGGCGAAGCGAATGCGGGGCTGGCGACGACGGCGGACGCGAGGGGCCGGGGACGACGGCGGACGCTAGGGGCCAGCCGGCGGACGGCGGACGTGAGGGGCACGCGGACGGCGGACGCGAGGGGCCGGCAAGGGGCGGGCACGGGGCCGACGAAGGGCGGGCACGAGGGGCCGGTAAGGAGCGGGCACGAAGGGGGGACGACTAGGAGCGGGCACGGCGGCACGAGGAGCCAGCTAGGAGAGGGCGCGACGGCTCAGGGAAGGAACAGCCAGGACGGGAGCGGCAGCGAGAAGGGGTCGGCTAGGGGCAAGCGCGACGGCGAGCAGGGCCAGCTAGGACGGGCGCGACGGCACACGGGGCCGGCTAGGGACGAACTCAACGGCGCAAGGGGCCGGCTAGGACGGGCGCGACGGCACACGGGGCCGGCTAGGGACGAACTCAACGGCGCAAGGGGCCGGGGAGGACGATCGCGACGGCTGCTAGGAACGGCCGCGATGACTAGCAACGGCCACGACGGTGGCTAAGGACGACCGAGACAGCTAGGAACGGCTGCGAGAACGGCTAGGAACGACCGCGACGGCGGCTAGGAGCGTTTGCGACGGCTAGGAACAGCTGCGACAGCGGCTAGGAACGGTCGCGACGACTAGGAACGACCACGACAGCGGCTAGGAACGTTTGTGACGGCTAGGAACGGCCGGGAGACAGCGGCTAGGGATGGCTGCGACGACTACTAGGGATGGCCGCGAGACGACTAGGGACAGCCGCGACGGCTAGGAACGGTCGCGACAGCGTCTAGGAACAGCCGCGACAGCAGCTGGGAACGGGCGAGACGGCAGCTAGGGACGGGCGCGACAGCTAGGAGTGGGCGTGACGGCGGCTAGGGCCTAGGGCGGAAGCGTGGGCGGGCTAGGTGGGGGGCCGAACCTACTATGATACCATATTAGAATGAGTAGTTGAGTAGAATAGAAGGGTACAAGGGTATATAGACTAGGGGTTGTACCCTCTAAGGCACAATCCAGTATAGTCTACAGTAACTACATAAGTTACATTTGACACTCACGCCATACTCACGGCTCCTCCTATTACTACCTAGCCTTACTTCAAGACATAGTGGCCGCATTGATGAGGGGGGGGAGGTAGAGGCTGGTGTAGACGGCGAGGATGAAATGTAATGAGTATCATTAATGAATGTGGCCTCATGACCTTACAGCGTTTTATTTCAAGCCGAGGCTGAACTTTCAGCGATTTGTTTTTAGACAAGTCTGACACATTCAGCCTTTTTTAACAGGGGGAGGCTGAGAAATCGGCCTAAGTATGAGGGGCAAGGATGATAGATCAGCATGCCTAAATGCGAATCTTGGGGCCTGGTTGTGTCTAAAAAAAAATCCTAGCGCATCAGGGTCGGTACAAAAAAAAACCTCTGGAAAAACCCCGGATCAGGAAAATTTGGCTGAAATATGGGGGCATGTAACATATATATATCCTAGTTGGATTACATGTGTTAGTCAGCTCTTAAAGAGTATAATGTACTTGTATCTCCCCCTCCCCCCTTCTAGTCCAACTTTTCACGCTACCGTAATCCCCCGTATATAACACCCGCCGAAATAGTCACTCCGCGGGTGGTTTATGCGGGGGAGAGCTTATGATAGGGTGAATTTAGGAGAGCACCCACTTTTCGGGGGTTGCATTTTACATAATACCCTCCTCGTTTTATGCAGCAAAGAACAGTATTTCGTAGTTTTTCAAACTCAACTCGATTGAGAAAAAAAACTAACAGGATGAAAAACGCAATGTCAACTACCATTAGCAGCGAAAAAACGGGCAGAACCATCAACACAAGTTGCAGCGCGAAATCGAAACGTCAGCAAAGGTCGAGACTCGGGAGGATTTCGACCGTCGAAGTCGCGGATTCTGTTGTGATTAGACGGTCAGAATCCTCCCGAGCGAAATCCTCCCTTCGAAGTCGCGGATTCTGTCGCGATCATGACGGTCGCAGGTGCCGCACAAACCTGGCCCTGACCACAGCACTCAGCAGGGATTGGCCAACGACGATTGGTTCGTGAGTTTGGTCTTAGCGGATGCTGTACCTCGCTAACAGTCACTCCGCGCATTTGTGAACACACATGGCCTGAAACACTCAAATTCAAATTGCATTTTACATAACACATGGGCACTATTTTTCCGGGCCACTGTTAAAACCCAGTCATTTTTTTAGTGAATTTTTATATACACCATAGGGTGTTATATACCGGGGATTACGGTAGTTTGACAGGGTCTTCTATCCGGGCATACGGTACCGTTTCCAAACGTGATTGATGCAATTAAGTGAAAATCACGCTCGCAGCACTCAAGGGGCTTGGATTGGACAGACCTAAAATGAAGGCTTCTAATCAGCCTTGTTGCTTATCACGCAGGGCACCCCGCTTCCCTGCCTCCTCCGTTTGTTCCCTTCACCTCCCACTAGCAGATCCCTCCCCCTCGCCATCCCGCCCATCACTCCTCCCTCTAACCTCCCCTTTTGCCCCCTCACTGGTACTTCTGTTCTCAACCCCTCCGCCCTCACTCGCGTCGCCCTCTTTCCCTCCACCATCTGTGCTCCCCACGCCCCCAAACGACCTCAGAAAGCGCTCCTCCATGCGCTGAATGGCACCCGCCACCCCGCTGCTGCTGCTGCTGGCACTGCCCACCTGGGAATCCACCTGAGCTCCTTGTCCCACCTGGCTGCTCCTGTCGGGTGCTGCCATGCTGTGCTGCCCTCCTGGCGAGTCAAGGGAAGGCTGGGGCAGCAAGGAGTGGAGACTCGAGTGCAGGAGGGCTGCCGGGATGAAAGGGAGAGAAGTGGAGGGGTGGATGAATTGTGAGCGGGTTGGGATGGCCTATAAGGTCAACATTTTGGAAATAGAAAAAAAAAAAAAACACTTCAACCGATAACGCCAGACCTTCAGTAAAAATGGAATAAATCTCCCAAAATTGACAGGAGTAATTCTGTGCAGAGCGCCTACACTTCGAAGGTGTTTAACGGAATAGGATGAGGAGCGGGTGAAATGCATGTAGAGTAGGCGGGTTGCGATGGGCTGTGAAGAGAATCCACAGATCAACACAGATGGCTTGGCTCACCCAGGGGAAGGGCGAGGACAGCGCCAGCCACAGTGTGGAGTGCTGCCGACCTGAGGCGACAGAGAGGCGCGGCTCGGGTGGCTGGGGGAGGGAGGGGGGGCGGGAAGAGTGGGGGGAGGTGAAGGGGGGGGGAGAGAGTGTGTGAGCGGGCTGGGTGGGGGCCTGTTTGTTGATAAGGGGACTGTTGAGAAATCCATGAAGAAGACAAAGGAATCAGGAGACACGCGGAGTAGGTGGCAGAAAAACGGTAGGCGGCACAAAGTGTGGAAACCCATTGGAGAGATTGAGGAGCATGAGGCATGATGCTTGTGAGTGAGTGTGGGACAGTGTTGAGAGGTTGGTTTGGTGCTGGGTGTGAGGGAGGGGGAGAAAGTGTGTGACGCACAAGGCATGCAGGGGAGATTAGTGAGGGGGGGGCAACTATGCACTGCTATAATTGGCATTGACTCACCAACCAATCCCACGAGGCCAGCTGTCACAGCACCAGCACCCACTGTGCTTGCCACGTCAGGCTCACACAATTCCTCCCCCTGCCATCCCCTTCCCCTGCCCCTCTCCCTGTCCCTTCTCCCTTCATCCCCGCTTCTGCCACTGCTACTGCCATTGTTAGAGCTGGTGCTGCCACCGCCAACCCCCTCCCTCCCGCCCAGTTGAAGTGCCAAAAGGCCCATCTGTGCGCCTGAGAATACTCCTGCCAGCACGCCCAGCTGCACGCCTCCCACCACCGACCCCCGAACCACCCGCACCAGCCTTCGCTCTGCCGCCAGGCGCGCTGCTGCATACCGCGAGGAGGGGCGGGCATGGGGGGCACTGTGTGGAGGTGCTGCAGTCGTGGAGGGTGGGGCTGTGTGGCGGGCATGGTGGCTTTGATGGGTTGAGAATGGGGAGGAGGCCTGGCGGATATTGGGAAGGGAAGGGGAAGAACGGCAGTTTGCAAGGGCATAGTCCCTGCAACAGCAACCAAAGGTGCAACCCTCCCAGCTACAGTCAAAAGATGGAATGAGAAGCTTATGCCTGATGGGAATAGAAGCTGTAAAATTTCGCCGAAACTTTGACTTTCTTCTACGAAAGTCTCGCTTTCGAGACCTGGAAACCTCCCTGCCAGCACTCCGAACCATACTCCAATATTCAATGCAGCCGCGCCTGATATGTATGCCATACTGCCCATACCTCAGACCTGGCGGCCTCCCTGCCAGCACTCCGCACCATACTCCACTATTCAAAGCAGCCGCGCCTGATATGTATGCCATACTGCCCATACCTCAGACCTGGCGGCCTCCCTGCCAACCCCCAGCATTCCGCCTGTGACAGCGCCTGCTGTGCTGGTCTCCTCAGAGCATACAACCTTATGGTGAGTCGCACCTGTGGCTCATTCATACCTCCGTCCTGGCGGCCTCCCTGCCGGCCCCCAGCATCATCCCTGCCACAATGCCAGCTGTGGTCGTCTGCCCCCACTGCTGCGCCGCTAGGGGGGGCACCCACGGCTGGGGAAGGGGAGGGGGATGGGGTGGGGTTTGAGGGAATGCGGGGTACGTTTAGCAAACGAGGGGTGGAGGAGAACCCAGAGATGGGAAGAGGAAGCAGGGGGCAGGGAGGGGCGGGGAAGGGGAAGGAACAGGGGGGAGGGGGAACAGGGGGTTACAGGAAAAGGCGAGAGGGTGTGTGTGCATTGGTTAAAGCCCAGGTCCCAAATTAGTCATGTGGGCATCAAACTGGGCCCAGTTTGATGCTGACCGCGCTCGGGAACTACCCAAGAAAAAAAAAGAACCAACTACCCCTTTGCCACAGTGAGAGGCAAAATCGAGGCTGGTATATCTGCGGTGGAAATCAACTTTGCAAACTGGGCCCAGTTTGATTCGTGCAGTTTCTGCTGTTGGATTGGGCTTGCCAAACCCAACTCCCATAAAACCGTCCTCTCGCTGGGTTTCCAATCAACAGCTGTAATTGTGCTTACACATTGGAACTTCATGTGTCCATGCGTCTCAGCCGTCAGATCCGCATTTGGGCTACCTTGAATTCCCCCCAAATCAAACTGGGCCCAGCTTGCATACGAAATCCTGCGCGAAGTAACATAATCACAAATTTCCGCACCCCATAACACAATTGCTTTTTTCCACCCGCCCCGCCCAAATTCTGCCCGTTGACTTGCGTTAACTTATTTGGGATCTGGGCTTTAAAGGTTTGGGGTTAAGGCTTCAGGAGGAGAGACATGCACATGAATGGGGAGAGTCATTCATGGGCGTTCCGGGTTCAGGGTTTGGGGTTTGCGGTTTGGGGTTTGGGCATGAAAAAGGCACGGGATGCGAATGGACAGATGGAAACCAGTGAGGGAGGAACGATGCGGAAGATGGGAGGATGGGAGGATGGGAGATGGGAGATGGGAGATGGGAGATGGGAGATGGGAGATGGGAGATGGGAGATGGGAGATGGGAGATGGGAGATGGGAGTTGGGAGGATGGGGGATGGGAGACCGGTGATGGGAGATGGGAGGATGGGGGATGGGAGGTGGGAGATGGGAGATGGGAGATGGGAGATGGGAGTTGGGAGGATGGGGGATGGGAGACCGGTGATGGGAGATGGGAGGATGGGGGATGGGAGGTGGGAGATGGGAGATGGGAGGTGGGAGATAAGAGGATGGGGGATGGGAGATGGGAGATAGGAGTAGTCTGCAGGCATGGGAGAGGCAGGGGGCGGATGGCGCCAGTCAAGGGGTATCCACCGCACTAAGCTACGCTGGTCTCGGGCGACTTCCCTCTACCTCCCAATCCCGCATGCAAGGCCCGGAGTAGCGAGATTTGATTCCACTCGCCCAGGGATTCTTAAAGCCTTGACCGCACCACACATCTCACTGGCTGTCATGTGTACCCTTCCACTACCCTCGTCCCACACCCGTCCCCACACACACCTCTCACCCCTTCCCCACACACACCTCTCACCCCTTCCCCACACACACCTCTCACCCCTTCCCCGCACACACCTCTCACCCCTTCCCCACACACACCTCTCACCCCTTCCCCACACACACCTCTCACCCCTTCCCCACACACACCTCTCACCCCTTCCCCACACACACCTCTCACCCCTTCCCCGCACACACCTCTCACCCCTTCCCCACACACACCTCTCACCCCTTCCCCACACACACCTCTCACCCCTTCCCCACACACACCTCTCACCCCTTCCCCACACACACCTCTCACCCCTTCCCCACACACACCTCTCACCCCTTCCCCACACACACCTCTCACCCCTTCCTGGTCACGCACCTCACTTTCAGCGGGCGGAACGAACCCCCCCCCGTCGCCCTCGTCGCTGCCCATGGCAGCGCTCAACTCCAACACGCGCCGAGCGAGCTTCAAGTCGCCGCCAATATCGATGCTGCCAACCAATCAGCTGCCAACCAATCAGCTGCCAACCAATCAGCTGCCGACCAATCAGCTGCCAACCAATCAGCTGCCGGCCAATCAGCTGCCAACCAATCAGCTGCCAACCAATCAGCTGCCAACCAATCAGCTACCGACCAACCAGCTGCCAACCAATCAGCTGCCAACCAATCAGCTGCCAACCAGCCAGCTGCCAAGTCAACTGCAGTCTCGTCTAGTGCCGCCTTCCCTCGCCCACGCCTTCCATGCTTCCCTCCCACGCGCCCTTCCTCCACTGCTCCCTGCTCCGCCTCTGCCACTAACCACCACGCACCCTCCGCTCCCGCCCGCCTTTCCCCCGAAACCCTCCTCCCCCGAACCGCGGTCTTTCCCTCCCCCCGCCCGTGTCACCGCCCCCACCCCTGCCTCTCGCTTCGCCCTTCCTCGTCAATTCTCCTCTGCTCTTCCACCGCCACTGGCTGGGGGAATCCGAGGAGACGGGGCAGCGGGGCAGGTTTCGTCGGAGCTGCGCCACGTGAGAAGGCTGCACGCGTGCGGCTGGGGCTGTCGCAGGGATGGATGGATGGATCTGAGCCTCAGGGCCTGGCACAGCGGGGTGTGCCTGTGGGCACACACCGCCGCGAGCACGCGTGACGGGAACGGGACGCGACGGGTGCGGGCGGAGGGTTCGCGAAGAAAGTGCGAGCGACGACGAATGGAGGGATGGATCTGAGCCTCAGGGCGGCACAGCGCGTGTGCCGTCGCGCATGCACCGCGAGCACGCGTGACGCACTGCGGGTGCGCGGCATACACTTCACGTCTCTTCGGTAAGGACTCTCAAGTGTCTAGGTCGCGGAGCAGCCGGCTTATCGCCGCTGTCTGTACTGCCCTGCAGCGAGGAAGAGATTAGAAGCGATTCGTAGTGCGCCGTGCATCGCAATTGGACCCGCCGTTTCCCCCGGACGAGCACTAATGCTACTCGCTGCTGCTAGCGGTAATGTGACAAATCGGGGAAAGTATATCGGCGCTCAGTATTAGGGGCCTCGATAACATGTACGGTCAGTGACACGATATAAACAATCAGAATTAGCATATTCTCATCATGTTTCATCAGTCGTTAGTCAGCAGAAGTAAAACAAGAGACGACGTAATCGTCTTAGGGTTGCGGAGCATTTTTATATAGATATATTTATTGTATTTAAAATTACCCGCATGTATATGTATAACTTCAAAGCGTAAGTATCTGTAAACTTCTAACAATGGATTAAAACATATACTATGTAAGTATTCAATAGATGATTTGTGTTATAGTGCATTAATAAAAGTACATGCAATCACAATGTTAATGCATCTAATACAAGTAAGACATATCATTGAGTTTCTACATGTTTTACACTATATAGAAATGGGCTTTAAGTTTTTTCATCGTCCGATACTGTTCTTAAATCGTGCCACGCTGTTGGAACTGGTTTCTTTTGTGTTAACGTAGAAACGAATGATTACTAGAGGTGGAAACCTAGAACAAATACTAGTTGGTTGTACTCACTAGAAGCATACCTCAGTCTAGTCTATAACTTCTACATAGATAATATGTATAAGTTGACACACCCCCTAGGCTAGACAAGGGGTGAAACTAAACAAGAAGCAAACAGCTCAGGGTGGCACTACTAGTCCAACCACTGAGGCAGGGGTCTGGAGACCAGTCAGCAAGAATACAACCAAAACTGAAGCAAGCCAGGGTGGCACTACTAGTCCAGCCACTGGAGGTAAGGCCACAAGGCCAGTCTGACAAGCATATATAATAGAGAGTACACAATCAGGATCCTAACAGGGGAGCAGCTACAGGAACAAGACCAAGCTGTACACAGTGCCGCTGATGATCTTTAGGCGCAAGCGCCTTAGTAAAGATATCAGCTGTGTTGGCACCTGAGGCCAAGTGAACTACGCGGGCTTGGCGGCGCTGCTGTAGCTCGCGCAGGAGGAAGTACCGCAGCTGGATATGCTTCGCTCTGCCCTCAAGCCGAGGCTCCTGACACAGGAGTATCATGGCCCTGTTGTCAGCGTACAGGACCGGGGCAGAGCTAGGCCGCTCACCTAAGTCTGTGAGCAAGAAGGTCAGCCAGCGGAGCTCCTGTGCCGCCATGGCACCAGCGTAGATCTCAGCCTCACAGCTAGACTGAGCCACAGACGACGAGCGAGTGGATCTCCAAGAGATAGCACCCGAACCAAGGCTGAAACAGTAGCCCTGCGACGACCTGAGCGTCTCAGCGTCGTCTGCCCAAGAAGCGTCTGTGTGCCCAGTAAGGACCACTGGCCTGCGTCCTCCTAGCACTAACCCCATGCCTGATGTACTAGCAAGATAACGCAAAACCCTCTTAGCGGCAGACCAGTGCTGAGGTCGGTGTCTGCCTGTAGCCACAAAGCGAGCCAGGATGCTGAGAGGGTATGCGAGATCTGGGCGAGTGCAAGTCATCAGGTACATGAGGCAACCCACCAGCTCTGCGTAGGGGCCACTGGGCTCTACTGGCTCCTCAGGAACGGGAGCAGAGAGCCCATGGTCTACGGGTAGAGGTGTGGGCTGTGCGGAGGAGAACTGAAGACCGAACCTCTGAAGGACCTGACGCACCAAGTGTGACTGGGTCAGAGTGATGGTGCGTGCTGCTCTGTCCCTAGAGATCTGCAGGCCAAGATAGCGACGCAGCTCTCCAAGGTCAGTGCAGGTGTGTCTCTTCAGCAGCTCAGCCTTCACAGAGGCCAGTGCGTCCCTGTCAGGAGTAGCGAAGACCAGGTCGTCTACGTAGACAAGGATGTAGAACGGAGTCTGGCCGGAACGCACAAACAGTGAAGGGTCAGCAGAGGACGGAAAGAACTGCAGGTCTGCTAACGTGGCACGTAGCGTGTCGTGCCACTCGCGGGGAGCCTGACGCAGGCCGTAGACCGGGCGCCTGAGAAGCCACTGGGTCCCAGGAGGGAAGGTACCAGTGAAGCCCTGTGGTCGGCGCAGGTAGACCTGCTCGTGTAGGCTGCCCTGAAGAAAGGCAGTAGAGAAGTCGAGGGAGTGAAGCTCGTAGTCACGCTGTGCTGCTACGTGTAGCAGCGCCCGAAGAGTGGTCATCTTCGGGGTCGGGGCGAAGGTCTGGAAGAAGTCCACCCCCTCGCGCTGACTGAAACCTCTGGCCACGTAGCGCGCCTTGAAGACAGGCGGCTCTCCAGGGGGGCGCTTCACCTTGAAGAGCCACCGACCATCGACTACGTTCACCCCAGGCGGGGGAACTGCGTCGACGTAAGTGCCGGTGGATCTCCAAGATGCCATCTCCTGCTCCATGGCAGCTATCCACTGAGAGGCCCAAGGTCCCGAGGTGGCCTCAGCGTAGGTGCGAGGGGTCGGGATGTCGAAGGCGTCTGGGTCACCCTCAGGGACTAACAGCATGGAGCAGAGATGGGGAGCAGCCTCGGAAAGGAAAGCCAGCTCGTACTGCCTGTCCTCTAGGACGTCACTGCCAAGGGCAGGAGCACCCCCGACGGACGGAGGACGGGCAGGGTCAGAGACCAGAGCGGTAGCGTAGTCAAGGCGGCGGGTAGAAGCGAAGTCAGCGACAGCAGCGACAAGCGCGTCAAGGCGCGAGACAGGAACAGTAGGGTCGGTAACAAGAGAGGCAAGGACCCGAGGGACAAGGGGACGAGCAGAACGGAGGTAGTCAGAGAACGGAGGAGGTGCAACAGCAAGGGACGAGGGAGGAGGGGACGGGAGGAGGGGAGGACGAGACGAGTGGGAACGGAGCAACATAGGGTGGGTGGGCAGGACAGGAGAGACGGGACGAGCACGGGAGGGACGGCGAGCCCAAACGTGAGACGGAGGGGTAGGGTCAGGGGACAGCGGAGGAGACACAGGAGGGGAACGAGGAGGAAGACGGGCCGGAGACGAGTCTGGCGGCGGGAACACAGGACCGTAGACTAGAAGGTCAGGAGGCGGTGGGGGAGACACCGGCGCGCGGTCCGGGGAGGGAAGGCCGAGCAGGCGGAGAGCGGAAACCGGCGGCGACGGCTGCTGCGGCGGCGACGACGGCTGGGCCGGAACTCTCGGACCAGCAGAGGCAGAACGACCGTCGGCAGAACACTCAACAGCAGCACCCCCAGAACCAACACCCCCAGAGCGAGAACCCCCTCCAACACCAGCGGCACCCCCAGAAGCCGCAGGACGAACACCCTCCTCCACACCAGCACCCCCAGGGGCCGAGAGCAGCGGCGGCAGTGGCGGCAACGGCTGCGGCGGCGGCGACAGCGGCGACGGCTGCGGCGGCGACGGCGACGGCGGCGGCAGCGGGGTCGGCGACTGCGACAGTGGGGGCGGAGGCACCGGGGAAGGGGGACGCGGCAAGGACGGACCGGGGGTACCACCAGAGTCAGCAGACTCCTCAACGGGGACAACCGACGGGAGGGGAGTGACGTGGGAGACACCAGACGGGGCAGGACGAGGCGGGAGAGGGGCAGGGGCTACCGGGGGAGAGGGAGCAAGGAAAAGGGGGGGGGCAACTGGGAGACCTCGGTGAGGGAAGCGGCGGTAGAAGGAGACGGACTCGTCAAAGGTGACGTCACGAGAGTGGAGGAAGCGGTGAGACGGCGGGTGGTAGAAAAGCCAGTCAGACGAGTCCAGGGGGAAACCGAGGAAGACACAGGGGACAGTGCGGGCAGTGAGCTTGTCCGTGCCAGAGGCACGAACGTGAGCAAGGCAGCCCCAGACGTGGAACGCAGACGCGTCACCGGGGGACCCGGTCCAAAGGAGGGTCGGCGAAACCTGCGGCCGCTGGGAGCGTGGCCACAGGTTAAGCTGGTGAGCCGCGTAGCGAACAGCGAACGGCCACAGAAAATGGGGGGCATCGGCATGGATCATGGAGGTACGGGCGACCTCCATGACCAAGCCGATGCGGCGCTCAGCAACCCCATTCTGCTGTGGCGAGTCCGGCAACGTGTACGACTGGGTGATGCCCTCCGCACGACAGAACTGTCCAAGCCGACCAGAGGCGAACTCGCCGCCACGGTCGGAGTGGAGACACAACACGGGGAGACCGCGGTGGAGACGCGCAGCCACAACCCACGGGAGAAGAACGTCGGGCACGTCGGCCTTCCGCTCCAGGGGAAACACCGTGGTGTAGCGCGTGTAGTCGTCGACGAGCACAAGGAAGTAGCGCTCACCGCGCGGTCCGGGGACGGGGGCAGGGCCCCAAACGTCCAAGTGCAGGGTCTGAAGGGGGGCAGTAGCAGGACGCAGCGAGGAGGAGTGAGGAGCACGGCGGAGCCGACCCTCGACGCAAGGCGTGCACGGTGGCGCAGTCGAGGGAGGAAGGGCAGGGAGCGACGTGGGGAGACCTAAGACAAGACCGTGCTGGGACATGTGACGCAGACGCGGGAGAGCAGGGTGACCTAAGCGGTGGTGCCAGAGAAGGGAGGGGTGAGTGAGGGACCGACACGAGCAAGCTGCAGCGACCTGGGAGGACGCACCAACCGGGGGGGAAGCGGTGTGTAGGGTAAACAGACCGGACACCGGGTCCCGGGGGAACGTCGCAAGGGGGGAACCTGAGACAGCCTCAGAACAGACAGCGAACCGCTCGTGCCCGGGGAACGTGGTGGTGACGCCGAGGTCCTGGAGACAGCCGACACCAACCAGGTTCCTGGAGAACGAGGGAACGTGGAGGCCAGTAAGGGAGCCCGAGGGAACTGCCGGACAAGGAAGGGACGTAGAACTGCGCGCGACGACCGGACCCGCAGAGGGGTCAGCGAGAGAGACAACAGCAGGTGCAGCAAGCGGCGTGAGCGTGGAACGGTCGCGGAAGAAGCAGGCAGAAGCACCAGAGTCGAGAGTGAAGGACAGCGACGCAGTGGCGGAGGCCGGGGACGGAGCCGGTGCAGCGACTAGACTAGGCAACCTAGGCAGTCCTACGCCTGTCGCAGCAGGGGAAGCTAAGCTACACA